AATTTTAGCTTTCTAGGTCAACAAAAAGTATAAAAAATATCAAAAAAAATTTGTTGTCAGTTATTATGAAACACCCTTTATGGGTCAATATTTACAAAAAAAAACAACACAAAGACCAAAATTCGATTTACTCTAAAAATCGTCATTGCAGTGAAAAAATATATCGCGTTTTTTTCTCATTCATTTTTTGTTATCTGAACTATATTTGTTATTTCTGGTTCGTATATTATACGATGCAGTAAATTCTATACATTCTTGTTGTATACCGATGGTCGAAAAAACAAGCAAACTACAAAAGTCTTAAGTAAAAAAAGAAAAAGTTAAAATTCAATTTAGATGTCCTATTGTTGACAACTCGATTTTCCTAATAACTAGCTAATGAATATTGATCATACTTTGATGGAAATCGATAGATTTTTTCTTAGACTTATGTAAAAAAACAATGAACATATAATAACAGCCTATTGTACACGTTCTATTGAAAATATTTTGCTAATTTAGATTCATTTGACTTTCACAGAATGTCAAACTCAGTTCCACACACATGTATTTGCAAACGTGTAAATAAAAGGTTATTCTGATTCATTTCATTTGTATAACTATCTTTGTTTGACGTTTTTCACTTTTGATGTATTTTGCTCTTTCGTATTCTTTTTAGGCAAAAAAAATCAATTCTATTTTTAAAGGTAGCAGTTATTAACAAATAGAAATGATGACTCATTATACGCGTCTATGATACTAGTCTTATATTGATTTTTTTCTATTATTGTGACGTGTTTCTTATAGTTTTTGGTCTCAATATTTACTTATGTGTCGTAGTTATCGTTTACCAATGGTGATTTAATTAATTATCCGTATTCAAGTAATTATAAAAGAAATGGTCATTGATTTATTAACTGAATATTCAATAGCGATGGTGCTGAGCATAACGACTATGAGGTTAAATGGTCAAAAAGAGAAGCATACTTACTCATAGTGTGGAGCAACTTGTTAACGATAATTTTTTGTCAAAGCAGTCTATACATCATATTAAGAATGTAAAGAACTACTGAGAAGTTGACAAAAATGAAAAAGACGAAGATCTCAATATCAATATAGAAGAAGATTATAACATTGAATGATTTTCATTCTACATAAATATCTGAAACAGCACTTCTGCATTTGGTGATTCGAGTGCTTGATAGATATTAAACATATTCATCTTCTGTATAAATCTGTTATCATCTATGTGAAATGTATAAATTTCAAAAGCCTTTGTCACTTCTTTTTGCACACCATATTTTCTTTCAACATTTGCATAAATCATGTCCAATGATCTATTACTAATATTATTTCATAACATAGTATATAGTGTCGTCTAGCAAACATCTAAGTGTGATGATAAAATTATACAAATTCGTATGAAAAAAACGAGTGATTAAATAAACCATTCGTCAACCTGAATTTGAGATCAAAGGATCAATAGTTGCTTTGAAATCAAGATGAGAATTCTATGGAGTTTTATATATAATTTCTTTATTACAGACTACAGTAACAATTATTTCGTAGATAAATCCGTATATTTGGTACATCAATAATAGAATATTTAGGGCTTCATTTAAAGAATGTTTTTTTTTCTTGCACAATTTTATTTTTCATGATCATGTAAATTTTGCAATCGCTTGTCAAATCATTTCTGTTTCTATAATAGATTACTATCTGTTCTTATTGAAATTAAAAGAATATTGATAAAGAATTTTCTTTATACGATGCAATCAATCATCTATTTGTGCTTTCATGTAGTAAATAAATAATATTTTCTTATCACCACATGAAAAAAAGACGTAAACATTAGCTATGACAAATGTTTCTTGTTTGGTTGTTTTTATCATTTGTTTTCAGTGTAGCTTTACTAACAAATATTACTTGTTCAGCATCTTTATCACAGTTGGAAACCCATCAAGTTAAACAATATCTTATGTGTCAAATCAATGTAAAAATGTGTTCGAGCAATTCTTTAACGAAACCATTGTCATCTAATTATTTCTATAGTAAACTCTTCGATACATACAGCACGATAAAACCTATATTAGTGACTGAAACACCACGTTCATTGCAACAAGATTTCTGTGCCATTCCTAATTACGTTTCATCAAAGTATCTACCAAGTTCTACACCTTATTATTTATTGATAAATCAAGATGGAATAACGCTTCTTTATGTGACAGTCGCACTTTTTATTATTGGCTCAGCATTATTTGAATATTATAAATATTATTGCAAAAAATAATTATGAAATGATTATTTAAAACAAAATGATTGTAACTGACCGTATATACTTTACTTTATTGACTTAAATGAATTCTTCCTCTTATTTACTGCCACCAATAAATATTACAACTATTAATTCATATAAAATTATTTTATGAAACACATCAAGTAATCTAATTAGTTTATTCAATAATAAATATACAACAAAATAAATAAAATAATCAATTATGTTAATATATTCTATTTATGAATGTTTTGTTTTGCTTTATTATAACATGTTTTTTTGTAATCTATAAAAAATTTTTAAAATCTGGATATGAGAAACATTTTCAATCAAAACGGTAAAAATAATATACCTGAGGATATATCTATTGAACTATAATTAAACTTTATAATTTATAAAACTTATCAGAAAATGAATGAGTTACATGTTTGAATTACAACACAAGCTATTTTTCTCATCAATTTTGAGATAAACATTTTAAAATAACACGTTTCTAAGTAGAGACAATTATTTATTAAATAAATATAGCAACTTGATAAATCTTTCAAAAGACCACAACATACGACGTGTTCATATTTGTTTTGTTCTGCACTAATGTAATCATGATAGTCATCAATGTCAGAATCTTTCATAATTTGAGTGGTATATGACTACTATCAATAATAGAGAGTGACCAGCTCGGTCGTTTTCAATATCATAATCAATTGAATTATTGTCATATATGTATGCATCAATATCAATTTTATCGGTGAAAACGGACAACAAAACTATTATTATTATTCTTGATCAATCAAATTCAGCTTAGTTGAACTTTTCAAGAATATGTTGAATGAAAATCAAAATTGATTCTACTCAAAAATCGATGAATATTGAATTTAATGAAGAGAAATCTTCTATTGAATTGAATCATTTTCAAATATTATTTCATAGTGTTAAGTTCATTGGAATATTTCTGCTTCTCTATGATACTGTGTGATCCTCAATTCATCTCATAATATGTCATTCTACTAATTGGTATCAATCATAGCTTGTTAGAGGTTCAATTGAGTTATATAGCTGACAAGTTACTAGACAAGAAAAAAAAAATGTTAAAGCAGATTAGCTTCGAAAAAATGACTCCCGGCTGGCACCATTTTTAATTAGTAAAAATTCGTCCCATGGGGAACTTTCCAAATTTGTGTCCTTATTTTTGTCCCTAGCTAATTTCTGGAGAGATATTAATAAGATATCTAATTAATTAAATGATCATTTGACACTTACTTTGTTGAAAGCAATATGAGAAATAGCACACAAGAACATAACATGAGAAAAAAAAGATTACTTAACAGTCTGTTTTACTTTCACACATTATCCAAACTAGATAGCTAGTTTCATACCAATAGGATTAACATCTGTATATTTTTTAAGATGAAATTCATGTATTGAGGAGCGTGACACTGAGTGAAATGATTGGTGTTCGTTACACCCACGTTCATGCCCCCGCACGTATACCTATTATACATTGAGAGAACAATTAAGCCGGTAATTGAAAATTAACTGCAATTAATTAAAGACAAATGTATAGGAACGATTTCGGACATGACATTTTTCCTGTGGGCTTCAATAGAATGAATTTATTAGGGATTTATCTAGTCTCAGTTGAGGAGGAGTTGCTCTTCGAAAAATTTGTTATCATGCAAAGGCGGCATGTATTATGTAAGTGAAATAGATAAACACTTATTGTCAGCTGAATGTATTTTAAACAATACATTCTTCTATTTCCATGTTTCTGACTATCGTCATAATTGAAGATTTTAATTAAATATTTGATGGAATAGCCTACTTAGATCTAAAAGTAGATAATTAACAATATTATTCTCTTTATGCAATTGTAATGGACTTTTTAATATTTTCAGAAATCTTAGTATATTTGATTGCAAGATTTCTTTTAATCCACATACAATATCTAAAAAATTTAACAATAGAAACAATAATATCATGAATAATGATGCATGTATTGAAAATCGATGTCACTGCCAAGCTAACATTAACTTTACATATAAAGACGTTAAATCATCATCACTAAAAATAATATTGGCACATGTACAGTCATCACTGATATTCTCTTCTATCACAGATGTCAACAGTATATCAAATGATAAGACAAGCACAAGTACTATTTCGATTAACCTTCTAAATATAATACTTGCTTTCTTATAATAAATTTGAATATTAATCGAAATTTATAACATAAAAGTTTATTTTCACATATTCAAATTAACACTCAAAATACCTTGGGATTGAATAAAAAAATTATTTAATGAAACAATGTAATTCTTCCGTTTTAAATTCATAGGATTAACAAAAATCCTTTTCGACATCTAAAGTTCATATTCACATGAAAACCTTTAGAATATATTACATAAAGTTCATCAACTATGCATGTCATACTATTCAGTATACAAAGAACGTTTTATTTCACAAATAGAACAAAATTATCAAGAAAATGGTATTCTGAATCGTTGATGAAAGGATACACATTTTATTGTGTAACATAACCCTTGAAAAACAAAGACTTATTTTTATGATGTATCGAAGCTAGAAGTTTCTTTTGTAAAAGACGTTCTATGAAACAAGGATGATATTTTTTTTATTCATTCAGAATAAAGACTTTCAAAAAGTATTCTTTGCGTTTCATTTTGATGATAACATAATTCTTATTTATTGTCCTTGAAAGATATACAAATATATTAAAATAAAAATGTTCTTATCCCAAATATGTTTTCAATGTAGCAAAACAATCTGCTTCAATCCATGGATCACAAAAAAGATGAGCTGTAGAATATAAAGCTGCAATTGTATAAATCCAGCCAACAAATGGTGGAACTAATTGTTTTCGTCGTAAAAGTCCTTGAAAAACAAGTTCAATTGCGAGAAACATTCCATTAATAAGAAAAAAAAGCATGTTTTTTCCACCTGACCATCGATCCATTGATACTGTATACATAAATTCATGTAAAAGACCTGAGACAAAAAATGCAAAAAAACCAGTAAATATAAATCGAACATTCGATTTTTTATTAAAACCCGTTAATTTTGGTAAAGCAATAAAAGCAATACGATGAAGGATTGATTTAACATATATATTCCATCGACGTGACCAAAAATCATGAAGACCTGTTGGTAAAAATGGATAGCCTGGATATACTGAACGTATATGAATATTCCAAATAAAACCCACTAAACCAAATACTATATTGAGTACCATACCAAGAGCAAAATAAAATATAAATCCATAAAGTGTATATGTTAGAAAATGAGTTAAAGAAAATAATATTGCATCTCGACTATGAAGGCGAAGTATTGAATAAGGTGTAAAACGAAGAAGAATATGTAAACAGACCAATTGAAATAAACCACGAAACATAATTAAGATATTTTGTCGACGAGCTGAAAGTTGTTCATCATCAGTACCAATAATAAGATAATTTATATAATTTAAAAATGTCGGATGAATCGATTTTGATCTAAACTATTACATAGATATAATTTCATTTAATTTCATTTTTGAAAATCTTGCTTAACTGACGATGGTTCTGGTTCATATTTATATTTTGGAAATGTTGAAAAACCCATAAGAATCTTGGAGAGTGAGCAGTAGGAAAAAGATATGAAAAGAAAGAGATAACTGCTGCAAAAAGCATATTTTTTTTATATATTTATTTCAAACAGAAATAAAAGGATGCAAGCTTTCGTGCTACATTCAGTGACACATGATCAGGAAACGTTATGAAAGATATTAAAAAAGATATTACTATAGATGTGAACTGTTGATGTTAAGTTGTATGTGAGTATAGTTGAGATGAATTGATAGTATAGATGAGAAGAAGTGATTTGGGGTGTGTGTGTGTGGGTGGCGCTGGGTGTGGGTGTGGACTGTGTGTGGTTGACGGTGTGAAAAAGATCCACAACTACATCTACACCTCACACCCGACCACACAGAGCCACTCTATACCCTACACCCACAACCACCCACAAGCCCACGCGCACACCCACACCCACACCCACACCACACTCCACACCTCAACCATCTCAATCACCAATTGTAATCGTGAAACCAATGGGACAAACGAATGGGAAAAAAAAGAAACAACTAATTTCACAAAATGATATATTAACGGAGTTTGCCAATGAAGATGAATTAGGATCTGATGAAGAAGATTACGACGAAGTTAATTGTGATGCGAAAGCAAAAATAAGTTTTGTTAAAGAAGAATTAGTATTAGAATGGTGGCACAAATTGTCATTGAATTATCCACAACTTAGTATTCTGGCAAAATGGCTATTAGGAATTCCAGCTAGTTCAGCAACAAATGAACGTATTTTCAGTGCAAGTGGAAGAATTTTAGAAGAAAGAAGACAAAATTTAAACGGCGAGATTGTTAATGATATTTTATTTTTAAGAAACTTTCGAAATATGTTATAATTTTGTATTTAATTTTCGTTGGAAATTAATAAAAATATGTTGAAATATAATGAAAAAAGCAGTCGTTAATATTCACTTAAATGTAAAAAGTTGTGTATGGTAGGGTAAGGGTACGTGGGACCTAGGGTAGGGTAAGGGTACAGGAGACGTAGGGTAGGGTAAGGGTACGGGAGGCGTAGGGTAGGGTAGAGCAAGGGTATGAAAATTGTCGCAGGATAGGGTATAGGGTACGAAAAAGTCATATCCTGCAGGACTCTAGTCACATTCACGAGGACTCAATAATGTAGCGGCGCATCAAAAAAAAACGTAGCGAACATCAATGATACACAATCATATTAATACTCTGTACAAATGAAATAATAACAATCTAATCTATGCATCTGTCCTTTCTACTGGCTTATCTTTTGTTGTGACACAAAATGTCAGAGAATTCTGTTTAGATGCTACTGTAGTTGGTAATCGTACACCTATCTATCGTTTTTTAGTTGGTCTAAACTTTTTGTCGTTCCAAATGAACATCCTAGATTCTTTTCTCATTTCAACCAAATCATTCTTTTCCTTCCCATATTTTTCCTTTCGAGCAAAGTAAAGATTTTAGTGAAATGAGAAAAGAATCTAGGATGTTTATTTGCAACGACGAAAAGTTAAAATCAACTAAAAAATGATAGATAGATGTGTGCTTACCAACTTCAGTAGCATCTTAACAGAATCATCTGACATTTTTTGTCACAACAAAAGATAAGCCAGTAGAAATGGCAGGTGCATCGATAATATTGTTATCGTTTCATTTATACAGAGTATTAATACGATTGTGTATCAATAATGTTTGGTAGGTTTCTTTTTCTTTGATGCGCCATTAGACTATTGAGTCTTCGTGAATATGAGCCATTTCTCTTCTCGCTTCAAGAAAGTGATAAGATACCGAACGTTTGGATGATTTTGAAGAAGTCAAGAACTCATTCTGTCGTTATACCCTTGAATGAGAAATCTGAAAATAATTGTTAGACTGAGCCCAACATATTCTCACCATTGCATACTGTCTTACAATTTGATGGATAACAGAATCATCGAACAAGTTATTTCGCCAGAACACTCAACAATTGTCGCTCGCTGACATCTTTGTTGACCATTTTTCAAGCACTTTTTCCTTTCGTTTTCTCGTGTCATTCCGAAAATTTCAACTTTCTACAACACTTTACTTTTTGAATACTCATATCTTTCGATATTTTGCCTTGCCGAAATGTTTCCTTTCGAGATTTTTTGAAGTATTTTTTTCGACATTTTCCCCTTTCGACCAAAGCAGGGATGACCATTTGTAGAATTATCTTTTAGCAAATTATATAGTTATAAGATCCTCGACATATTGGAAGATCCCCCTCCCCCAAATAACAGTTATTAATTTCTAAAGCTTTTTAATTCTTTTAGTATTTGTTTATATGTTAATATTTATATTTTTTTTAGTACGGACAATATTTTGCTTCCATCGTCTCAACAGTATGTCAGCTCTGACTTCGACAGTTCATGAGAAAAAGTTAATAGGAAATAGTAGTTAGTAAAAAAAGATGTTTTCTATTTAAAGAAACATGTTCTGAGATCACATTAATGTTTCTTTGCAGGATGCTGGGAAGAAAATTACTAGATATTTTTTGCGAAAATATTCGTTTCAATGATCACAGGATCTAATTAATGTGATACGTTTCCAAACGTATCACACGTGAAGATAACTTTTTGAAACAAGAATATCTTCAGTAAAAACTCATTGTCTATTAGTTAATACTTCGCTTCGTCTGTGCACTTTCTTTTAGAAATTTTGATGTTCTTATCATGCAAGATCGCATTCGTAATTGGCAAAAATATATCTCTGAGAACATACAATGAGATGTGTCTTATGAAATTCCTCTTATATGTCTGAGAACGTATCTCTTTTTGTATGAAGATTCCAAGGCGCTTTTCTGAAATCAGTTTCAACTTGTATTCGATTGCTCTTTTTTCGTAAATTGTCTCTTCGTAGACAACTATATTTATTCAAATTAGCTAGAGATCAATAACCAAACTGGTAGTACATTTCATCTTGAATCAATTCTATTTATACGAGCTAATTCTCAACATAAGCAACTAACTGAAATAACTTTGACATAAAAGAGTTAATTTTCTTTCGTTAAGCAATTTATACCTCCAGGTAAAAGTCTTACTCCTATTGCTTCTATGCTATCCTACTTTGCATCTAATTTATGTCATATCTTTACTCGGCAATAAATTTGATGCAAAATATGGTACAATACAAGCAAAGAGGAGGAAAGGTTTTTGTCCGAAAGTGTAGATATATGGAACATAAGTGCCACCAGTGACAGATCATATTCTTTAGAAAAAATAGTCCTATTATAAATTGCACAAAAATGTTGAGATATGTTGTGTATATTGTTTCAAGATCACTCTTCTAATCAAAGATTGTTTTCTATTTTTTGCATTAGAATATTACGCGCTTCTTTTCCATGACAGAATAGAAGACATGGGATCTTCTAATGTGTCGAGGACTTTAGACGAATCGAGCAAACAACATGACTTTGAAACTCATGTCTGTAGAATTGAAAATTGAAACAAATTGTTAATACACTGTCGTATACATACAAGAATGGAACTAAAAACATTTAGTCTCAATGTGTATGTATCTTCGTTTTGAAACATTCGAATAATTATTATTTACATCTACCAATAAACCAATCGAACTTGGAGCATAAATTATGCATAGTATAGAAAGCGTGCATTAATGATTAATATGAAAACTTGCTCACTGATTTCGAGGAGGAAATTTTCTGATGAGTTTATAATTTTGAATTCTAGCATCTGGTCACGCTGAGTCCCACATGTCTCCCATCATTTCTTATTGAGCACTGACGTACAACACAGATCATCATCGTCTTATATTTGTTCAGTGCAAAACAGGCGATATTGTTTGTAGAAAACGAAAAGAGATCATCAGACGCCGTAACGGATAAAAGTTCAATTTTTACATGTACGATTATATAGGACTAATTACGATACTGAGAATTTCGTTTTAATTCGGCCAATGAAGTGAAATAAGGTGTTTGAAAAGTTCAGACAATTAGATATTCAAAGGAAATTCGATGCGCTGTATTCAATAGCACTGCATTAATTTAACATGGCTTTTGTTTTGAAAATAGTGATTTTCCATCTTCTTCAACTAGGTATCTTCACGTTATTCATCCATTGGTGACTTTCAATAACAATTATAGATGCCGTACCTTTCGGATGAAAATTGGACGAAGAGAAGGCCAATCCAGTATAGAATTGTATTGGTGAATTTAGTTATCATAGTGGGCTGTTTCAATTGCACTTGCACTAGTATTAGCAGTTTATCTTTTCTTCCGTCAACTAGACATTCGGCAAAAAGCTCCATGGACCAATATTTGATACAGAAATTTGGTTTAGTATCAGATATCAACGATTTTACGCCAATCGATGCATTCAAAGTTTTTCGAAACTTTGACGCTTTCATTGATGCTCTGGACGAGTACGCCTCATCACATGAACTCACCGATCTTGAACAATATTTTTTCAAAATTCAGACTGATCCTCGCCGTCGATTCCTCTATCGGCTCAGTCAAAATTACTTTGATAATTACTTTTTGAGCATATATTTCATTCTATCCAATCCAGTATTAATTACGAAACCAACCTTCGCTAATCTCTATCATGATCGACATTTACTACCAGCGATTACAGATCACATAATCGAGCTTTATGAGACAATGGATTCTGAAGCAGCTCGTTTTTACAACAAACTACTCTTGGATAAATTTGCTAACAATCTTGATTTTGTTCCTCTACCAGGTGACTATCAGGGAACTGAATATGGAACATATTTCGAATTATTTTCCAACGAAACGGCACGACTCAAAGCTTATATCATCAATTTAGCAAAAGATCCGAAATGGATTGAGCATCCTGAGCAAGGTCTTTCTCAATTTGATCCGAGCATCTACCAATTTACATTTGAACATTATAGTAGTTTGGCGTCGATATCAACGGATGAATTTCCCAAAATTAAACAATGGGCACAAAAACATTTAGATTACCTTATGGAAGAAGTCAATCAGACGACTGATCGCCTATTAATCGATCCCAGAGATAAGGAAAAGTCGATCTACGAAAAAATGATTATTATTGGCAAACATCCAAGTCAACAATGGTCTTCAAAAGAAGAAATGATTGAAGCACACGAAACAAGCTTAGCTAAATATCGTCAAATTTTCATTGATAAATATGGTTTCAAAGAATTTAATTCACCAGGTATTGTTGTTCTCAACAATCCGATGTTGACAGGTGGCTATTACTATAAAGATAAATTCTATTTGAATGTTTACAATTGGATCGATGGTACTTTCAAGTATGAAGTAGAAAGTCTCACTTTACACGAAACAATACCTGGTCATCACATGCAATTGGACATCTCCTATCATTCACCACACCGTAACTATTTGGCAGCCATAGATTCGCCACTGTGCAACGGGTTCATTGAGGGTTGGGGTCTCTTCTCTGAACATCTTGGCGACATGCTTTTCGAAGATCAATGGGCCTATTTCGGCTATTTGCAAGCGAATATTTTGCGAACATTTCGGGTCATTGCCGATATTCTTCTTCATGTAGAAGGGCAAACTCCATCACAGGTGATCGAATTAGCCAAACAATACTTAACTACCAATGAAGAGAGTATCACGGCAGAAATTTATCGATATCGCGTTCTTCCTGGTCAAGCGTGTGGGTATAAGATCGGCTTAGAAGTATTCAAGCACATTGTTAAACACAAGTTCAACGTTGATCAAATGAAAGATCTCATTCGATCGGACCTACTCGAATGGTACAAAGACGTGTTGTGGAAAGCAGAACAACCATTAGATCTATTATTGCGTGAAAATCGATTACAATGGTCGTTTGATGAATAAATCTGTCATATTTTTGAAATTTTTCTTTGCTGATTATTGGTATGAAACATTTTGAGTATAGGTGTGGGTGTGGGTGAGTTTGTATGAAGAAAAGACCATAAATTACAGTTACACCGTTCATCAGAGTCGAAATATAATTTCGGAATTCAATATAATTTTCATTTCGACTTTCTCAGAATTGCACGCGTAATCACACCTCGGGATCCGATGTAGTTCACTAATTAGCATGCCGTTCATATTTACATTGTTTTTTTTGCTGAGGGAATTGTGAACTACCAAATGCACATTGACTCATTGGTTTCATCTCTACGTTCTAACGAAGTATTTACATACATGACGTATCAAATGAAATTATCGATTAAATCTTCCATGCGACGTATACTTAGTTGATCTGTCATTGGAAAATTCCAGACTACTTTAGAGTCACTGATATGTTGGTTTGCTATTTCTACTTGGAAAAACGTTTTATCGTAGATGACGTGTTGATTAGCATTAGTCATTCTTTGAAAGTAATTTCTTTTCTCTTTCTTTCTTCCTTCCAATTCATTAGAAGTGTTTCTAGTATCGCGATGAAAACACAAATAAGAACACAAACTGTCGATCAGTATAAAAGGACAAAATCTTATCCTAGATGACGTGCTGAGTAGTAATACTCACTTATCGACGACGGTCTATTTTCGTTTATCTAGATCATTTCTTTCAATTATCGTTAGTTTTATGATGACAACAACAAAAAATTGCAAGACAAGTTGCTAATTCAAACATCGATTCAATGTTTTGTTTTTCTAACTGTGGAGGTCACAATTCATCTCATTCATGACTTGTACATTGTGAACTATTCAAGGGAAACTGACATGCCAGTTTTGTCTCAATGTTGAAAGAAAATTTATTCGTATGAGATATGTTTGGTAGTATTACTGATTATATGACAGTCATGTATTTCTGTTCATATCTGGCATTTGCTGAAAATGACACTACCGTCTTGTAGTGAATGACTGTCACAACACAGGTTCTTTATTCATGAATAGTTGCTGCGCTGTTGTTTTCATCTGTGTACTTCTTCGTATGTTGCTCATTACAGAAGTTAATGCTACACGGAGGTATTTGAGAATTTGAAGCGTTAACTCATACTTGATACGTTTCAGAAAACGTCATTAGCTTTGGTGCACTTTCGAATATTGTGTTTAAGTGAATGCTTAAATCAAAATCCGATCTGGTTTTTCTAATTGAACTACAATGATTTTGAACTGAGGACTCTCTCATCATCGAACTGATTATAGTTAAGTTTCAGTTGAGACTGTGAAAATCTCATTGATGCATTTGTATTCATTGGACGACACTCGTCAAATGTGGGACTAGCTTAAAACTGTTCGATTTATATTGTGGAGAGATGCCTTTTGAGTCACTTTGTGTTTTGTCTGAAAGTGAAGAATTCCTTCGATGAGAATGGCTTGTTGCATGTTGAGCGGAATTATTCATGGTTTTTGAATAATAATACCTATTGACTTTTATCTTTTCATATGCAAATACCTGTCTATCATCGGAAGAGCATGATTCACAACAGTAGCTGTCTATTGAATGATAGTGTTGGCGTCGTTTCTTTTTTTTAATATAGTCTCTATATTGGGAGAAGATTTTATAATCGATGGTGTGTTAAGCGCAATAACTTGTTTTTCCCAGAATGATGTGCTTTCTTTAATTCTTGTTCTTTATTGGAAATGTTACTACAATAATGAGGGAGATAAAAAGAGCACCACTGTCAGTATGCACTCAGTATTGAATGTTGCATTCATCTGTTTCTCACTGTTTAGTTGTGACTTGTTCTGTTTTGGCGACAAGCAGAAGACTTTGTGAGAAGAGAATGTTGTGTTGAATTGCTGTCTGTCGAAGATATGTCTCGTATTATTGTAGCAAAGAAATGCCCGAGGAATATGATTTCCTTCTGGTGTCTGTCGCAGAATCATTAAATTCTTTTTCTCACACGGTGTGACTCCGTCGTTTTTATCTTCACATGTAAACTGGAGTTGTTATTTTAGCGATGTAATGTTCAGTGCAACTTTTTTGTTGAACAGGCAGATATATTCATCGAAAAACGTATGGAGGTTAGATGACCCTTCGTTTGTTCCTTACCCAAGAAGGTATGCTCGCACCTTTAACGCCACTTTATAGTTATAGGAATGCCACGCACACACCTGATCGAGAGTTGTACCCGATAGCTGAATACAGAACACGCAACATGGAGAAACGTAGCCCTGAGTTCGCATAGACTCTCTTCACAGGAATATCTCTAAATTTCATATGTCTTCTGATTGTAAATTTGTTTCAATCGAAGCTGCAGATCAGATAAATTTGAATCCTTTTTCCTGAAAATTTTCTGAACGAGAAACTCGGTTTCGTTGTTGAAGCATTTAGATCTGAAACCTTTGTTTCAGGAAAATGTCTTACGAGCTCAATTTCATGACTACAATATATCATTTTATGAAATGACTTGAGAAGATTTAGTAGTAAACAATGAACATCTGACCATTTAAATATTTATGATATTAACGTTTTCTGTAACAATAATGTAGAAGAATGTTCGAGTAATCGACAATAGAAAAAGTTCTAGAATTACAGAGAATTAAATATTGACAAAGATATTTTCATCTTTGGTCATCGTGGCTATGGATGCAGCGGTGAGAATACAAAAAACCTACGGTGAAGGCAGATACATTAGCACTGTTGGTTTATGTTAATAGGAAGTCGTCTGAATAATATAAAAATCCGGTCATCACCGTAAGTTCTTCATCAGTTTACTGACTTTCACCGGTCTTAACGATATGCTTGAACGTGTATCCCTTATAGTGACGAATCAACGATACCTGACCAAAACTATGATTCATAAATGGTTTCTCATATCGTCTTGTCTCAATGAGTAATTTTGCTGATTGGTTACTCTATTAAATACAAAAGGCACTACTTAGTTCATAGAATTTTCAGTTATTATAATTATTAATAATTATTCTGATCCTGTGACTTAGAATGTCAGCCATCTGTTCTTCATTAGTATGAAACAAGCCGTAGTGAATATTGATATAAATGATAATTAAGACTTATGAGTATCTATCATATTGAAGCATCTGAAAACATAAGACACTTCTCTTGGTTAAACAACATCTACCTCATGTTTAAACCAGACTATAGGTATGTGTACCGTCTTAAAATCGGGTGGTGTGTTCTTCAGTGAGTCTTGAACAGAAATGTACCATTAGGTCTGTCTCTCTGACAACAGGCCTCTTTCGAGATGTATTTCGGTAAAACAAAATAACACAGTAATGAACATATTGTAATAATTTAAATTTCCTCAATGTAGAGTACGCCTATTTGAAAATATTCTTCATTTATATTTTTTCGAAAAAAGAAATATAGATGTCACTATTGAGAAATGAAACTACTATTGATTTGAATGAAAAAAGCTTCTGTGTATATTCCTGACAAAGTACGATCCATATTTTTTCTAACTGATTTACCAAGTAGTAGCTGAAAGATTTTTTATTTTATCCGACTAAATACTATTCTTTTCTAAATGCATTCTGTTGACTTAATATTAACGGGCACGTATGTATGAGAAACTTGTTTTTTTCAATTTAGATTTAAAATTCTACATAATATGAAACAAAAAACTTTCGTTTTGAACTCTGTAGTCGAAAATAAAATGTAAACAAACTCTTTTCTTCGTTTTAGATTTGTCTTCGAAACTTTACTTTTTGTCTAATCAATTAACGAACGATCACTTTCTTTCTAAATTTTTAACGATTCATTTTACAAGATGAAACCAGAGAGAAGAAGTAAAAAGACATTGAATGAAGAAATAGAATCAAAAAATAATAACGAAAAACTAAATGAGAAAATGAAATCCAAAAACAAAAGTAAAAAAACATCGAATAAAAAAGAAAAACAAAAAAAGGGTAATAGAAGATTGAATGAAAGAATGCATAAAAATCTGAATTTTATCGTAATGATATTTAGATGTGGAACAACTGAATTTTGAAGGTTCATGTTATTGTGGTTCATGTCAATTTACTTGTGAAGGAAAACCTATGTTTCGTGTTATATGTCATTGTTCAATTTGTACAAGAATCTCTGGTGGCATAGCTGTTGCATTTGTTGGATTCGAAAATGATAATTTAAAAGTGATCAAAGGATCAGAACATTTACGTGGTTTTAAATCAACAGAACGAATGGAAAGATTTCATTGTGAAAAATGTTCATCGAATGTTTATAATCAATCATTATTAGCTGATCGATTATTTCGTGATACTCCATTGATGAATTTTAAAAGAGATGATCAAGAAAATATTCTTCAATTAGATCAATTAAAACCTGACAGTCATATGTTTTTTAGTCAATGTCAGCAATGTTATTCCGAGATGTTCAAAACAGACGGTTTAATTAAATTTAGTTTAATGCCAGGATCAACAATTATTCCAAATCAGCCATCGAAATAGACAAAGTCGTTCTTAACCATCTCGATTTTCTTTATTTTTTTCTATCGAAATAAACATTAGATTATTATTAAGATTTCATTAATTCAAGTCGAACTGATATCTTGTTTTTTTTTCGTCCATTGAAGTGCAAAGTTGATTAGATGTTTCGATGAAAATGAAGGAGAGGTGAATACAATTTCAGTAGTAAACTGTACTGGACTTCGAAATTATATTTTGACTCTGATAAAATTGAAACAGGAAAAAATAAAGGAGACGTGTTTGAAAAATGATGCCAAAGTTTTATTAGTATTATAATCAAGTCTATTGCATCTGATTGAGAAGCAAGTTTATTTACAAATATTTAATACAATAAATAAATATATCCAATGTATTTTTTTAAATCTACCAAGCTAAATTAGAATAGAAATATATATGAAATATTTCATTTGAAGTGAAATGAACTAGTTTGAATCTGTAATTGATAAATAGACTAAAATGTTCAATCTAATTTTTACTAGTGACCTAGTGTTCACA